TTTAAGGTTTCGGGTTTCGGGTTTTGAATTGACAGAATCCAGTAGCCGGTTCTATAACATCAAACAGGCTCTATGGTGGTTATGAGGGCTTCGGGTGGTTACCAGGTCAGTTTGATGGGGTTTACCTGTTTCGGGGCTTTTGAAGCCCTGAAACTCGGCCTTGGTATGGGATTGAAGGTTTCCAGCTTTGGACTTCGGCGCTTCGGTTGTAAATACTAAACCCTAAACCCCGCAAACCTTAAATCCCTAAACCCTAAAGCCTAAACCCTAAAGCCTAAACCATAAAGCCTTAAAACTCTAAACCTACAGATCAAGTCTTACCACGCTTATGGTTCTGCACAGTTCCGCAAACAGGTCTAGATAAGGAGCAATGGCGTCCCTGTCTGTCCCTTGAGCTTGTCCCCTATAATGACCCCCAAAACCGAACTCCAACGATTCACGAAGCCCCCTACAATACCTCCTAAAGAAACCCTTGAAGAAACACTCTTCTCATCATTAATGCCCCTATAGACATACAGCCCAGCTTGGACCGGTCTCTATACTGTATTGTGTTTATACAGTTTAGGAATTACTGTAGTTTTAGGGTTGATGGAATAATCGTATCAATTCTTCAGGCCCCTAAACCCTTACGTGCTGTAAAGGTTCGATGCTTTTTGTATTTTCCTGCAGTGACAGGCGTTGTCAAGGTGACCAAAATGTCTTCGCCATACCAAGACGCGCAACTGTGTCCTGTTGTCGAACAGAGCTGCACTCGTGCTCGGCGCCATTTACAGGCAGCGACGACTTCAAAACACGCTCGACATAATATAGGGGTCGGAATAACTACAAATTGTATTACCCTCCCGCCGCCGGTACAAGTATAACAAAATATAACCCCACACAACCCTCGTCGATGGCTCAAGTCCCCCATATAGGGGTTCCCAAAAATAGGGGACCCTAATATAGCAGCCTAAATAATAGGATCCTTAATATAAGGACCCCAAAATAAGGTACCCCCTATGTTCCGGAAACCCCCAGATTCTGTCGAATGTACCGCCATTCACGGTATCACGGCCTCTTGCACAGGCTTGCCTCTTTTGAGGCGAAGACTAAAACAGCAACAGAAACCACAGCTCAGCGCCAGCATGGGGAAGCCTGGGTCTCGGGTTAGGAGACAAAGAGAAAGGGATCCTTTCTAGGGCTTTAGGGTTTAGGGTTTAGGGTTTAGGGTTTAGGGTTTAGGGTTTAGAGTTTAGAGCTTTAGGGGTTTAGGGTATAGGGCCTCTCCTTCAGACTCTTGGCCAACCCAAACCGCAAGAAGCAAAACGGATCCCTAACAACGACCAAGAAGCAAAGGATGCCAAGGGCTAGTAAGCCATTGAATCCCGATTGGTCTCCATCGTAGGTGACCTTCAGCGTACAGACAAGAGAGAAAGCCCTAAACCCTAAACCCTAAGACCCTAAAACCCTAAACCCTAAGGCTAGTATGTCCTAAGACTTCAGAGCCAACCAGAATACAGCCAGGTAACAACTTCTGTTCCCCCATCTCCACCGTATTGGCCATTGGGAGTGTCGGGGAAGTAGGGGCCTGCATGGGTTTTAGGTTTTTTAGGGCTTTCGGGTTGAGGATTTAAGGCTTTTTTGGCTTAGGGCTTAGGGCTTTTGAGGGTTTCTGTCGCGTTTCGGGTTTAAGGCTGTTTGCTCTCGGCGGTTCGGGCCGGTTGGGGCTTTAGGGTTTAGGGCTTCGGGCCCTTTGGGTTTCGGGTTTAGGGTTTAGGGTTTGGGGCCTTCGTCGATGATGTAGATGGAAGCACTGGGATACAACTCCATCTCGTCTGGCCGGATTCCATAAATGGAGGTGCAATACCTGGGCTCCCCCGGGCCTCCCCTCAATACATGTGGGTTTAGGTTTTGGAGCTTTCTGGTTTCGGTTGGTCATCCCCCAAATAATGGGCTTGGTACTTGTCTTCCTCTTATTCAGCTTCAATATGCCCTAAGTAACTTCCCTTTTCCTCTTATTCAGAGATCAGTGTCAATAAGGAGAACGCGCATTTCAAAAGAAAAAAGTATGTATAGGACCTCGGCACCCCATCTCTTCATAGGCTGTGATGAGATCCATCTCTTTGTCCCAGACAGTCTTGTGAAGGCTAATGATGGAGGCACCTGCCGCTGCGTGGAAAATGCCCGTCTTCAAGAAGAAGTACAATCCCAGAGGTGCATAGCTGCCTGGGTGTAGGTACACCGAGACATGGTTGTCCAAGCCTGCTTCCTCCAGCTTGTTCACCATGAGCCGTCCTGTGGTGGGGTAGCCTGTCGCAAAAATCGACGAAGACTTTGCGGTACAGGTTGACGTCCGCAATGCCTCCACCGAACTCTCTGCAGCCACATCGCTCTTCACATCGAAGTCAAAAGCCACTGCAGGGTTGCTGGTGCATGCATCTGTTACGGTCTCATCAAGGCGTGGGACCCTCGTGGTGGTGTCGTAGGTGTGTCCATCCACTTCGGCAAGTACTGTCAGACTTTGCACTTCTGACCAAGGGGTTGATTGAACAACTTTGTCCACTCCTGTCATGCGAATGAAGTTGTCGTCGTGGTGAATGATGGCCACCTTGTCCGAAGTACTCATGACATCAATCTCAGGATTTTCGCCTAAGGCGGCAGATCCTGCGACCACACTCACTAGTGTGTTCTCTTGCCCATGCGTCAAGTTGCCCCGGTGAAGGTAGATCACTGGGCCAAACTGATCATAGCACATCTTTCGTGGTGGAGCTCGAGAACCGTAGAGCACCGCAAGTGTTGCAATGCCACCTCCCAGCCACATAAGCCCGCAGAAACTGCTGCAGAGCAGGCCCATCACATTGCGAGAGCACATCTTTGAAACGGCTAAGCCGACTCTGCAGCACGGCAGCTACTACTCACTACCGCTGCTGCTCCTGTTTTCAAGGCTGTGGAGGCTTCGGCGGCGAAAGAAACCCTCGAGAATTCTGAATCCCTAATACCCCAAATACCCCATGGCCCTAAACCCTAATCCCTAGTACCCCAAGTACCCCACAACACCGGCTGTGGCACAACAAGTTGCAACATCCTCAACCCAGACCTCGTCGTCCTAGCACAGGGGCCTTTAACAGCTGAAATGGGGCCTTGAACCCGAACACACAGTATGGGCAGTCATTCACATATCTACATGTAGGAGAGTCCGCATTTGTGCTGCGGGTTGTGTACTCCCAGGTTAGCTTTGTAGAAGTCTAAGTTTCAAGCCAGGCGTGTTCGACCGATGTTCAACAAACGAACCCTTCAACCACAAAACTGGCCTCTCAGTGCGCCTAGCCCCGAACGCCGTAGCAAACGTCGAAAAAGTCGCCTCTGCCCCCTGCCACAGGGGCCCTCAGAATCACCGAGGCCCTTCTAGAAACCGACCACTTTCCTAGAGCCCCAGAAACCCTGAAGCCTCAACCCCAAACCCGAACCCGAGGCCTCCCCCGGCGAAGCCCGCATGGCAGTTGAGGCACGGGAGAAAGGGATTGAGGGGCTAGAACTGGAAGCTTACGAGCTGGGGCTTCCAGAGCTTGGGGTTTAGGGTTTAGGGTTTAAGGTTTAAGGTTTAGGGTTTAGGGTTTAAGGTTTAGGGTTTAGGGTTTAGGGTTTAGGGTTTAGGGATGAGGAGAGCTCTGTGTTCCCTCAACGCCATTCTTACAACTCCTGTCGTGCAGGGTTTGGGGCTGCTGGCAGTCTCGTCAACAATTACCCATGCGTTGAACACGGCTTTTCCGAGTCAGTCGACTGCTTTTACGTGGAGTCGTCCATTCGGGTAGATTTCTAAATTAGGGCCCCTTTTTGGGTCCCAAATATAGTACGGCACCCTTACAAAAAGGACCCGAAAAGAGACCCTAATGTAGCGAACTACCCATTCCTGCCCCTTGCGAGCATTCTGGCCAGCTGCGAAGCGGGCGACTGGATTTACCGTGACACAGCAAAGCTGAAACTGCTACAAAAATCACACCTCTCCACCCAAAAACCCGCAAACCCTGAACCCTAAACCCAGAAACCCTCCAACTCTAAACCCAAAAACCCTCAAACCCGAAACCCTCAAAACCCAAAAACCCTCAAACCCTGAACCCCAACACCCTCACCCTGAGCTCCGACTTCAGAAAGCTTCAATTTCAGGCCGTCAGATCCTTAAAACCCCCCCAAAAAAAAAACGAAAAGCCGTAGAGTTTGGAGTATGACGTTTCCGAGTTTTGGAAGTCTTCATCATGCAAGTATTTGAAGCAACCCTAAGGCATACGATTTCTAGACGAACTATTCCGGCTCTTGAAGAACCGCCGGATCTCGAGCCTTACCACGGTTTAGGGATTAGGGTTAGGGATTTGGGTTTTAGGATATGGTTTTCGATGGCGTGTGTTGTAAGGTCTATGGCAGGAGCGTCAATAATTCACAAGGCTTTCGTGAAATTTCTGATGCTAGCATGGTGACAGTTAGGGAAAAGCTCCTTAGACCTTGGGCACAAAGCCTTGCATCCAAGAAATGCTGGCACGTTTTGTGCTGAGACTTCAGGAGCCTAAACCCTAAACACTAAACCCTGAACCTAAACCC